AGTTTCCTTCCCTTCACTGTTGGTTCCCTGTAGATTTTTTTTAAAATTATTTCACATAGTTTACCTTTACTTCTTCCTTCATGTTGTTGCCATACTCAGTGAGTTCTTTCAACATCCCGATCACCAGTGTTTTGAACTCTGCGTCTGATACGTAGGCTATCTCCATTTTCTTTAGTTCTTTTTCTGGGGTTTTGTTTTGTTTTTCATTTGAGCCATATTTCTTTGTCTCTTCAATTCATCAACCTCCCTGTGTTTGGTTCTGTGTTTGAGGTAGAGCTATTTTGACTCCTTGTCTTAGCAGCATGGCTTATGGTCAAAAAGGCACCAGTAAATTGGGTGAGGCGGAGCCTTAGGTAACTGCGGGGGTGGGGGCAGCCTGCTTCACTTTGGGGCTACATGTCAGGGGAGGTTTCAGAGAAGGGACTCTGCTGCTGCCTGGCTTCTGGAGGCTTGCCCTGCACTCACCCCACCTCCAGTCACTTCATCCACTCCCTGTATGCAACCGGCGCCCTTCCAGCTGATGCCCTTGTGTTGAATCTCAGAGTTGGTGGGCTTGCGTATGTTTTAAGACTGTGTGGGCCCTTTAAGAAGAGTTTGCTGAAAATCTTGCAGTTTCTTTGACTGCCCCAACCCCCACTGGTTTTACCAGCCAGAAGTTATGAGATGTATATTTTCCATGCCATAGGAAGATGGTATGAGATGTCTTATCTTCTTGGTGCTGGAATACTGGGCTGTGTAGTCTGGCCTGGGACTGGGATCACTTGCTTCCAAGGTAACCCTCCTGATTTTTATTCACCACAAGTGAACGTGGGACCACCTGTGCCCACCTGTGCCGCTGCCGCCTCTCTCTTCCACACTGCACCTCTCCTGCTTCCGCATCTCTGCCCCTCTACTTGTCTGGATGGATGTGGTTTCTTTAAATCCTTAGTTATTGGATTTCCATTTAGTTTGGTTTTCTGACAGTTCTGGGTGTTATTTGTTTTAAGATTTAGTCGTAATTCTTTTTAGGTTGCGTGAGGAGGTGAAGTGTGTCTACCTGCACCTCTGTCTTGACCAGAAGTCTCAATTTATCCTTCTTCTTAAAAGTAGTAGCAGAAGAGAAAAATACGGCAGTGTATGATGTTTTTAGTTTTTTTTACAACAAACAGTAGTACTTTCCAATAATTGTTTATTTAGTAGTTAAAATGTCAGTCTTAAAGAGGACTTCTTTATCAGCTGCTGGTCATCCATATGGCTGTCGATGCTGTTATCCATTTCCCTCGACATATTTTGTGTGCTCCTACTAGTTGAGAGTGCTTGGTATATGCAGTGTGTTATTTGTGTGTGCTGTTCTTGCCCCTGCTCCAAGTTATGATGGCTCCTCAGACAGGGCCCTCTAGTCTTCATTCAGTGATTGCATCTCATCCTTTTTTGGTCTGTTTCTTTGTACTTAACCGGGGTGTCTCTCACAGGCCAGCCCACTGACACCTCTTTGGACCATCTCAGTGTCCTTGCTAGCACGTGTCAAGGAGTATTTCTAAGTCTCTTTCTTTGCTTTCCTGGAACAGGAGATTGTTTAGGTCTCAGGACCTACTGTTACATTAAAAAGGTGAGCAAAAGGGAATTAGACATTGACTTTAATAAACTGGGGAACATAAGTCTGCTTGCTTGGCCAGGAAGGTGCAGCTTTACACTCCAGGGGATCACAGCATTGTGCTCTGCCAAGGAGATTAACATTCTTCTTTTTCTCACTCTGGTACCAGATTGCCAGGTGGGAGCAGGTGAAAGCAGGCACATGGGCAATAGACATCAAAATGGCACAAAGAAACCTGTCAGTCAGGCCTGGGAGAGATGGGATTCCCATCCAAAGCCCACAAAAGCTTGGGAAATTAATTGGTTCTTTGGAAAGGGCTCTTGACCTGTACCACACCTAAGTTAATATAATCCCAGGGGAACAAAGAAGCCCCCTCTCCTGCCACTTCTACCTCACCCCTTAATATGCTCACCCCATGCACTTGTGTGTTCTGTCTCCATAGCAGCTGCATGGCCAGAAGCCAAGTGGACTCTACCCACTGGAGTAGCTGGGAGCAAGCTACCTGGATGGGGACTGAGACTGCTTAATGGCCACCTGCAGGCTTCAAAGGACTAAGCTTTAATATGCTTTGGAGCATACCCAAGCCTTTTCTTGAGCATGAATTTTTACTTTTTTTCTCTTAAACTTGAAGGGTCCCATGAGACTTGCAACCAGGGGAGAAGCAAGCAGCAGCAGCTTGTCCTGGGCATCCCCCTTGAACCTGTCTCCAAGGCTCCCGTTTTCTCTGACTTTCCAATGAGCTAAAAGTAGCCCGACCTTGGCTCACTCCTGTTACTGTGACTTTCACTTCCCAATGAGCTAACGGCAGTCCCACCTTGGCTCACACTTCTTTCCTCTAACATTTCGAGGGAGCCAAGACAGAGCACCACCTAGGTTCTCTCTTCTACCTCAAGTCCTTCCTTTGTTTCACTGTCCCCAGCTTCAATAAATTACTCTCAGATCACCTAGACTTGTGTTTTGAGAGTAAAAACATAAGTAAAATCTTTTCTGCACAAAGTCAAGGACTCACACCGTACTGGCTGGCCTGAGACAGATCCACTCTGGGCCCAGTCCCCATCTGGTAACATAAGGAGCCTTTGGGACAACTTCAAGCATACCAACATTTGCATTATGGGAGTGCCAGAAGGAGGGGAGACAGAGCAAGAAATTGAAACCTATGTGAAATAATGATGAAAAACTTCCCTGACCTGATGAAAGAAATAGATGTACAAGTTCAGAAAGCACAGAAAGTTGCAAACAAACAAATCCAAAGAGGCCCACACTAAGACACATAAATTAAAATGCTAAAGTTTAAAGACAAAGAGAGAATCTTAAAAGCAGCATGATAAAAGCAGTTAGTCACATACAAGGAAGCTCCTATAAGACTGTCAGCTGAATTTTCAACAGAAACTTTAAAAAGCAAGGACTTATAACCAACATTTTTGTACCCAGCAAAGCTATCATTTAGAATCGAAGGACAGGAAAAGCAATTCCCAGAGAAGAAAAAGCTAAAGAAGTTCATTACATGAAAAATTAAAGGGTCTTTTTCAATAATAATAATAATAATAATAATAATACATATCTATCAATAGTTAAATCTGAAAAACAAATTAAACAAACAAGCAGAACAGAAACATACTCAGATACAGAGAACATTTTGACAGTTGCCAGATGGAAAGGGGTTTGGGGCCTGGGTGAAAAAGCTGAAGGAATTAAGTACAACTGGTAGTTACAGAATAATCATGGGGATGTAAAGTACAGCATAGGAAATATAGTTAGTATTATAATAACTATGTATGATGTCAGATGGGTACTAGAGTTATTGGGATAATCACTAAGTTATATAATGTCTAATCCCTGGGTTGTACACCTGTAACTAGTATGTCAACTATAATATTGTATAGTTGATATTGTATGTCAACTATAATTAAAAAATAAAAATTGTTTAAAGTAAAAAAAATAAAGTAAAAAGGTGGATTGAGTGCTGCCCTGTGAACCAAAAAGTCATCTGTTCAATTTGGGGTCAGGACATGTGCCTGTGTTGTGGAACAGATTCCCAGTTGGGGATGTGAGAGAGGCAACTGATTGATGTATCTTTCACACATCAGTATTTCCCTCCCTCTCTTTCCTTCTCTCTAAAAATAAATAAATAAAATCTTGTTTTAATGTTTAAGTTTTTATTGTTGTTTAGTTACAGTTATCCCCCCCTCATTGCTCTTCCCTGCCCTGCCCAGCCCTCCTCTCCCACATTCAATCCCCCCCCACCTGGTTGTCCTTGTCCATTGTGTCCTTTTAATATACGTGCCTTAACTGACCCTTCCTCTGCTTTCCTCCGTTATTTCCCTTCTCTCTCCCCTCTGGTCATTGTCAGTTTGTTTTTTATTTCAATGTCTCTGGTACTGTTTTGCTTGCTTGTTGTTTTGTTGATTAAGTTCCACTTATAAGTGAGATCATATGGTATTTTTCTTTCACTGCCTGACTTATTTTGCTTAGCATAATAATGTAGTTCCATCCATGCTGTTGCAAAGGGTAGGACTTCCTTCTTTATTTCTGCTATATAGTATTCCATTGTGTAAATGTACCATAGTTTTTAGATCCACTCATTTACTGATGAGCACTTAGACTCTTTCCAGCACTTGGGTATTGTAAATAATGCTGCTATGAACATTGGGGTGCAAAGGTTCTTTTGGATTGGTGTTTCAGGGTTCTTAGAATATAATCCTAGCAGTGAAATTGCTGGGTCAAAAGGCCGTTCCATTTTTAATTTTCTGAGGAAATTCCATACTGTTTTCCATAGTGGTTGCACTGTGTCTCCAATCCCACCAACAGTGCACTAGGGTTCCCTTTTCTCCACAACCTCTCCAATACTTGTTGTTTGTTGATTCATTTATGATTGGCCATTCTGACCGGTGTGAAGTGGTATCTCATTGTGGGTTTTTTGTTTATTGTTGTTCAAGTAAAGTTATTTCCATTTAACCCTCTCTGTCCCTGACTCCTACCCTCAATCCTAACCTCTTTGGTTTTGCCCATGTGCCCTTTATTCAAGTTCCTTGATGAGCCTTCTCCTATTTTCCCCCATTACCCCTCTGCCCCATTCCCTATGGTTACTGTCAGTTTGTTCTTTATTTCAGTTTCTCGGCTTACATTTTTGCTCACTTTTTTGTTTTGTTGATTAGGTCCTGCTCATAGGTGAAATCATACAGTATTTGTCTTTTATCTCCTGGCTTATTTCACTTAGCATAATGCTCTCCAGTTCCAACAGTAGGGGCCTGGACTAGGGAGTCAGAACCCAATCAGGAGAGAAAGACTTCTTAGTCAGGGAAGAAGTGGAAGCAAGAGTAGAAGATTTGTTATATCCAGGGGACTGATCAAATAAGGAAGTAAATTCAAGATAAACGGAAGCAGATTTTTTAAATCCTCACATGAGAACATTTTTCATTGCTTTTAGAGAGAGAGAAGCATTGATGTGAGAAGCATAGACTGGTTGCCTTCTCATACACACGCACCTGGACAGGGTTCAAACCCAAACCTGAGTATGTGACCCAACCAGGAATCAAACCTACAACCCTTTGGTCTACAGGATGACACTTCCACCAACTGAACCATGCTGGCCAGGTGAATAGAAGCAGATTTCTTACTGTCACAGAAGGGAGTTAGAAATGCGGAAAAAGAGCAAACCAGAACTCTTAGTGCTGGATTAGAATTAGAGGGATTAGCGTGAAGTCATATTTTCAATGTTTAGATATAGAAATAAATACAGAGGTAAGTGTGTGTGTGTGTGTGTGTGTGTGTGTGTGTTATTGAAGGGGGATGAGTTAAGTGGGAGAGATGAAAAGAAAGGATTACTTGGGGGGAGCTGAATGAACTGTGAGCAGGGAGCCAGTATGGGACAAGATTTCACATGGAGGATTCAATTTTCAGAATGTTTGTTTCTTGACCTTTGGAAAAAAATTATATTTAGCACCCAGTTTATCTTCTTTTAAATTGTGATTTCATTAAATTATCTTAACTGTTAGAAAATAGTTATATATAACTGTATAGCCTTTCATTGTGCTGTTGTGGCAATTAAGGAGATAGAGAAGGATGCAGTAGAGGAGGGTGGCCTACTCCGCCGACATCCAATAGAGCAGCCTTCAGAAGTTGCTGGAGCTGATGGTAGCAAAATGATTAGAGATTCATAACGAAGCTAGTTAAGAACAACGGGGAAAATCAGAGAGCGCTGAGAAGAAGGTTCGGAAGGCATATGATCTGTGTGTATGGGACAACTGTAATAGAATAGCAATAAAAATGATTAAGAAAGAAGACACTTGATCTAAAGTTTCACTTCCCTCATACATTAGAGGATGCTAACTCTTAAAAGTGGGAAGCTGACTTGAATTTTTCAGCCACAAATGGAGAGGCAAATGTAGCTTAAGTGAGTATAAGCCAAGGTTGGTTGGTGTACAAACAATTATGTTTGCATGTAGATGCAAACATACATTTTACTCTCGCTGGCGAGTTCAGATAGCACAGTTCTCAGGAAAGATTTTTCTGTTTCTCTTTGCTATGCCTTCCTATTTCCCATACCCTTTGAGTTCCTACTTTCATTATCTTTGCTAGCACAGGTTTAAGGGATGTTGTTTTAACTGTGCTGACCCTGGAGGACAGGCCTCTGTCTTGAGGTTTTTTGTTCTCCTGAGGTGCTTTTCAGGGCTATTTGCATAACTGGGGCCTCTGTTCTCATCCAGTTGCCTAATAGGAAGTAGAAAAAGTTGCTGTAGTGTTTGGTTTCATTTAAAAGTGTTTTAAAGAGGAGATGGAAATGGTTTTTTGAGAAGAGCAGAAGGTCTCGTCTAATATGGCTTCAGAGATCACTTACGCTGAAGTGAGGTTCAACAATGAATCCAGGTCCTTAGGCACCAAATCAGAGCCTCCTACAGGTAAGAAACTTTTCATTGTGGTCAGAATTGATGAGAGGAAGGATGAGGAGAGAATACGATAAACAAAGCATAGGTGGTATTAGATGCTGATTTTCTGCCTGGCCACAGTTTGGAACTATACAGGATTCCAGAAGATTAAGTTGCCAGAGAATAAGTATTAGGGATTGTCCTATAACAAAACTAAGATGTGAGAAATCTACTATAGTCCTGAGCTAAGGAGAGTGCTAATTATGGGAGGAAGTTGTCCTGTGTCTTCTGAGGCTCAGTGAGACTGCAGTCAGGGTTAATAAAGCCACTAAATTATCCCTGCAGATTGGTGAACTACTGGGCTTTGTTCCTTGACTCATTAGAGGAGAAGAGCTTGAGTGGAGAGTGTTTTAGGCATGTTCGTTTGTACTGGACTAAAGTGGAACAAAAGATTATTGCAGAAAAAAACACTAGAAAATATTACAAAGAAAGCCCATTATATCTCAAGGGAAATTGCTCTGTAATCAGAAAATCCATTGCATACTGCATCTCTGAGATGAATTCAACTGAGTTTGGGAGTAGATAAAAGGTAGTTTGAGTAGCATATGATATCTCAGATATAGAGGAAAAGAGAAGAAAAAAACATGTAGAGTATAAGAAGCCATGAGAGGGTGGCGATGATTGCTTACTTTTTTTAAAACACCTCTGGGGAGATATGGAGAGTGCTCAGAAACATTTTTTCCCTTTAAAAATATATATCAATTCCTTATTCTATGTTAAAATAGTCATTGTAAAAAATTAAAAACTAGGGGTACATAAAATTTATAATTTGTTCTTACCATCTAGAGATAACTATAACTTATATTTAAATGTATATCCTCTTATTCAAAAATATACATTTATGTATATGTGTTTTTTATCTAAAAATGAGATCATAATGTACATTACTGAGAGGTTTTGGTTTTTTTTGGTCATTACTTTGAGAAAATAATTTTTAAGCATGAAATAATGACTAAAAGATCTGACCTTATCCCATGAATGTGATGAGGGGTGATTATAAAGATTTATCTGCTATGGCGTTATTGAAAGTAGTTAAACTTGGAAACAAAATGGAAACAGATTCACTGACACAGAGAATGAAATGACAGCTGTCAGAGGTGATGGGGAATTGGGGGAATGAATGAAATAGGTGCAGGGATTAAGCAAAAACGAAAAAAGCTCGTAGACGCAGACGACAATATGGTGCTTACTGGAGGGAGAGTTGAATGGGAGGCAAGTAGAAGGGGTTAAAGGAGGGATAAATGGTGACAGTGGTGAACACACAATACAATATGCAGATGATGTATTACAGAATTGTACACTTGAAACCCATATACATTTATTAACCAATGCCATCCCAATAAATTCAATAAAAATAGAAATTCCGGAAGATTATTTAGATATATAATGTAAGAGTATGCCACAATAATAGTATTGTAGAAGAAAATAGGGTATGAAAAATGTTCTTGATGTAGCATATAAGGAAATAAGAGTTCAGAAAATATGGTATGTCATATATGGTATGTCAATCATGTGAATATAAACACTCTAAAAATTGCTGGAAAGATATATACCCAAAATATTAACCATGGTTGTCCCCAATAGTAGGGATTTGTGCTTTTATATATTTTTCAAAGTCTTTACAATGAACATTATTTCCTTCTTATTTTTACATTGCTTCCGATGTCAAACTTTTAATAATAGTACGCCATCCAAGAAAAGAGAAGAGGAAGAAAAGGAGAAAGAGTAAGTAAAGGCCAGAATTTACTACTGATAAAAACTAATTCAAGATGGTGGCATACGTAAACATGGCTCACCTCCTCACACAACCATATCAAAATTGCAACTGAAATATAGGACAACCATCACTCAAAACCATCAGAAATTGAATTCTGAGAACAATGGAAGTCTGAAAACTATGGAATTAAAGAAACCACACCCATCCAGACCAGCAGAAGGGGTGGAGATGCAGAATATGCTGGTCCCACATCCACATGCAGTGGCTAAAAAATTCAGGAGGGATATCTCGGGAGCAAGGAGTCCCAGCTCCACACCAGTCCCCCCAGCTCAGGTATCCAGTGCCAGTAAGATAAGTTTCCCTACCTTCTGGCTGCAAAAACCAGGGGGATTTCAGTTGGTGGAAGAAACGTCTAGAGTCCCAAGCAGTTCTACTTAAAGAACCCACACGTGGGCTTACACAGATGCACTTCTTCTGAGCTCTAGAATTAGGGTAGCTGCTTAAAAGGTACAAGTGGCATAAAGGGAGGAACTGAACTTTCTGGCATGAAGGCAGGAGCTGGAGGACATATTGCTCCAGACAGAAAGGTGGGCAGAGGCCATTGTCACTTTTCTGAGCCCTCTCCCCAAAGAAGCAACAGAGCTGGCAGGAGGGGCCATACCTGAGACTCCATTAACATGTCTAACACTGTTTGCCTCACCCTGGAGACCCCCTGAGACTCCATCCCATTCAACTTTTTGGCCCACCCAAACTGTTAACCATGACTTTTCCATATGAATGGCTTCTTGGCTTATGCTTCACGAGTCTCAAAATCCTGTCAAACAACAACGGTTAAGTGGCCTCAGGTCCTGCACTAGCAGCAGCCAGCCTAGAGTCACAGCTTAGTGTTGCCTGTGCATCTAGAAGCCTAGCACAAGTAGCAGCCATCTCAGCTAGCTTTATAGTTGATGCAGGTTGGCCCAGGGAAAAACACAGGTGGGGGTTGACCTTGGTCTGCACCATCTGGGAAAGTCCAGAGCCTGCATACCTAGTGGATAGCTACTGACCATGTCAAAGCACTGCCACCCTCCCCTACACAGCTGATCCTCCACAGAGGGTGGAGATTTAAGGTCAGTGGTCACAGCCTATCCTTGTAGCAACTGTGTGAATCCCTCCCATTGACTTGGCTACAGCAATCAAGGCTCAACTACAAGAGGAGGGTGTGTTCAGGCCACACATAGAGCATACCTCGAGGACCTAGCTTGGGTAATAGGGGAGGCTGTGCCACTGGACCCTACAGAAACTTACTACATTAAGGCACACTACCAAGACAGGCTGCCAAAATGAAAGAAAAAGAAACATGGCCCAAATGAAGGAACAGATCAAAACTCCAGAAAAAGAATTAAACGAAATGGAGATAAGAAATTTATCAGATGCAGAGTTCAAAACACTGGTTATAAGGATTCTCAAGGAACTCAGTGAGGACCTCAATAGCATAAAAAAGAGGCAGTCAGAAATGAAGTATATACTCATTCAAATAAAGAACAATTTACAGGGAAACAATAGTAGAGAGGATGAAGTTAAGAATCAAATCAAGGATTTGGAACACAAAGAAACAAAAAACAATCAGAACAACAGGAAGAAAAAAAAAAAACATGGATCATGCAAGCAGCCTCTGGGACTACTTCAAGAGGTCCAACATTTTCATCATAGGGGTGCCAGAAGGAGCAAAGAAAGAACAAGAAATTAGAAATCTCTTGGAAAAAACAATGAAAGAAAACTTCCCTATTTGGTGAAAGAAATAGACATGCAAGCCTAGGAAGCACAGAGAGTCCCAAACAAGATGGATGCAAAGAGTCTCACACCAAAGCACATCATAATTAAAATGCTGAAGGTTAAAGATAAAGAGAGAATCTTAAAAGCAGTAAGAGAAAAGTAGTTTGTTATCTACAAAAGACTTCCCATAAGACCATCAGCTGATTTCTCAAAAAGAAATTGTTAGCTAGAAGGGATTGGCAAGGATTATTCAAAGTCATGAAAAGCGGAGACCTACAGCCAAGACTGCTCTACCCAGCAAAACTATCATTTAGAATCAAAGGGTAGATAAAGAGGTTCTCAGGCAAGAAAAAACTAAAGGAGTTTATTGTCACCAAACAATTATATGAAATTTTAAAGAAACTTATTTAAGAAAAAAGATCAAAATTATAACAATAAAATGGCAATAAATACATATCTATCAACAATTGAATCTAAAAAACAACAAGCAAACAAGAAAGACAGAATCATGGACAGAGAGCATTTTGATGGTTGCCAGATGCAGGGAGTTGGGTGGAATGGGTGAAGAGGTGAAGGGATTAAGAAGTACAAATGGGTAGTTACAGAATAGGCATAGGGATGTAAAGTACAGGACAGGAAATGGAGTGGCCAAAGAACGGACATGCGTGACCCATGGACATGAACAATGGTGTGATGATTGCTTGAGGGCGTGGTAGGTGCTGGGTGGAAGGGGGAAAAGAGGGAATAATTGGGACAACTGTAATACCATAATCAAATATAGTAAAAAAGGAGAAATAACATTTAATATCTCTTTTAGCTCCCAAAGAGAAGACCAGCCCTCACAAAAGTAACCCTGGTTTTCCCAAGGTACTCTTCTCCTCATTGGTGATACTTCTGTTGTTATTGGCAGTCTCATTTTTTATTGCTTTCATCAGTAAGTATCCAAGTGAAACTATGAGAAATGTCCACAGACAGAATCCAAACCATTGCCATTGGTCTCAGGAAGTTCAGAGAATGGTAGTAACTGGTCATGTGAACCAGTGGTTATAAGGTTGTGCAATAGTATTGCACAGGCAAGAAGCGCAGAAGGCTGAGATAGGCTTCCTGAAGGAGGTGACATAGAGATTTTAGAGAATGTGGGAAAAGGTGGGGAAAGCTAAAAATAAAAGACTGGAACATATGGTGCTTAGTGAGCTGTGAGAAATGAAGTCGTAGGTGGGAGAAAGAAGCAGGCTCAGGTCATGAAAAGTATTGTGTACAATTCTCATGAAGGTGAGTTTTTACACTGAAGGTTATTGTATCAATTACCTTCTGCTGCTTAATAACTATGCCAGTGTAAAACTTGGTGGATGAAAATAACAGTTACTTAACCCGTGATTTTGTGATCTGGCAGTCTGGACTGGGCTTAGTGGTCCTGGCTAAAACCAGGGGGTAAGGTGGGGAGAGAGCTGAGGTCAACTATTGCAGGAGATAAAAGAGGAAGAAAACCAAGAAGGAGCCCTAGAATATTACTGATGACCATTATAGGGGTGACTCTCCTAAAGTGTGAAAGCAGAAGCCATTTTTTCTCTATTCCTCCTCCTCCAAGTTTAGCCTTTGTGTGGGCCATACATTATATTGGAGGAGAATATGGATGATGAGTGCCTTTGACCCATAATAATGGAACTGCTGTGTCTCTTTCAAGTACTGATCTTGTAGCTGTACCTGGATAAATATCTGATTTCAGAAGCAGTAGGATTGGGATTATGTTGAATATGGGTTGAAAGGAAATTTTTCCCATACTCAGGATCTTCCTACTCAAGTAATTGGGTATTTGTAAGTTTTCTTTGTATAAAGAATGCAAGGGAGTAATAATGAAAAGCAAAGTCATCACACTACCAGGAAAGTGAATGTCTATTCTCTTTTTCAGTTTTTTTTCAAAAATATGCTCAGCTTCTTAAAGAAAAGGAGACTACAAAAGAATTTATCCACACAAAATTGGAATGTATAAGAGAAAATTTAACCATGGCAGGTAAAAATTAATGTTTCTCTAATTTAGTTGTTGACTATACTATGTAAGGATCCTCAGTCAATATTTCTGAAAAGAGTCACAAGTAGATTTTACTAACAGGTAGAGTCTCATGATCATTTCAAGCTTTAATTGTAAAAATATATAGGACCTAAATACCTTATATGAATATCTTTAATATACCTGTGCAAAAACAGTCTTTAAATTTTTTATTTTTTAAGTACAGTCACATTCAATACTATTCTGTATTAGTTTCAGATGTACGGCATAGTGATTAGACAATCATGTATCAGTACTTTACAGAGTGGTTCCCTGATATTTTCAGTATCCACCTGACCTCATACACAGTTATTACAATATTATTGACTCTATTCTGTAGGTTATAATTGATATCTCTGTGAGTATTGTGTAGCTACGAACTTGTACTTTTTAATCTCTCTCTTCACCCCCTTCGCCCAGCCCCCCAAAGCCCCTCCGCTCTGCCAACCATCAGTCTGTTTTCTGTGTCCGTGGGTTTGTTTCTGTTTTGTTGTCATGTTTACTTGGTTCTTTAGATTATAACCTAAGTGCTCGCCAAGAGACAAGTATATAAAAAATTGTGGTGCATATAAGCAATAAAATACTACTTGGCCACTAAAAGAATGAAATATTACTTTTTGAGACAGCATGAATGGACCTAAAGGGTATTATGCTAAGTGAAATAAGTCAGACAGCAAAAGACAAATATTATATGATTTTATTTGTATGAGGTAATTATCTTAATTGTGAAAAAGATTATATTTCTTTTTGATTTCTTCAGTCTTTATTTCTTTCTGAACTTCTTGTGTACTTTCTTGCTCTTTTTCTCATATATCAGTTAAAACTTACTCTCCTATCTTTGCCATTGTGGCTCAGTTGGTTACAGCATGGTCCTGTAAACTGAAAGGTTGTGGGTTCAATTCCCAGTCAGGACACATGTCTAGGTTGCAGGTTCTGTCCCAGTCGGGGCACATATGCGAGGTTTCTTTCTCACATCAGTGTTTCTCTCTTCTCTCTCCCTCTCTTCTCCTCTCTCTAAAATCAATAAGCATGCCCTCAGATGAGGATTAAAAAACAAAACAAAACTTTCTCCAGAGAGATCTAATCTATTTTTATTTTAAGAAAATATATCACGTATGCATGAAAAATTTCTGGGAGAAAAAAATGCGCTTATAGGGAGAGAAAGTTTAGTTTTGTTTGATGAAGATGATGATGGTGATGATACAAAGATGATGATTTTAATATGAATGTGAATATTTTAAATTAGAAACATAGACTATTTTTAATGCTTCCAGTTGCATTTCAGTTGCATTTTTACCTTTCTTGAAGTAATAAAGCACAATATGCTAAAAGTGTCACATATTTTTTCATCTTAAATATTAAAATGGCTACACAAAAATTCACCAATTTTAATAATTTAAAAAAAAAGCATGCTGATACGACAACCGTCACAATACAGTCTAGCAAAATTGTTTCAAATGAAGTTGAAGACAACTGAACACTACTAGAGTCATCTTACAGAAAAAAACCAAATGAGCCTTTTGGCCAACCCAACGTTTTATTCTTTATGCTATTACAGTTGTTCCAGTTTCCCCCTTCGCTGCCTTCACCCATCACATCCCTCACTCCCACAGTCAGTCCCCTCACTGTTGTCCATGTCCCCGGGTCATGCATATATGTTCTCTGACTAATCCCTTCACCTTCTTTCAACCCTAATAGTTTTTGGTTGTTGTTGCTGTTCTAGGATTCTATCAGGGATGCTTCATTACATTTAGTGTTTACATCTCTTTAGGCTCCTCGTGGCTGTGATTGTTACTCAGATGTTTCTTGTTTTTGATGACTTTGACAGTTTTGAGGAATATTGGCCAAGTACATTGTAGGATATCCCTCTACTGGAAATTGTTTAGTATTTTTCCTATAATTGGACTAGGGCTAATTGGTTTTTGAGAGGAAGATCCCAGACATGAAATACCACTTCCATAACATCATATCAAGGGTTTTATATAATGAACATGATTTGTTGACAGCTGATGTTAACATTGATCACCTGACTGAGGTAGTAGTTGTCAAATTTCTCCACTGTAAAGTTATTTTTTCCCCTTTTCATGCTGCACTCTTTAAAGGGATGTTGCTACATGTAGCCCACAATTAAGTACTGAGAAAGTGTACTTTCTGTGCTTTAGTGGGGAGTACTATAGTGGTCTGATTGGACTGCCCAGCAAAATACAGATATCCCCTGCTTTCAAAAGTTTCTGTTATGCTACTTTACTTTTACAAAAGACCTTCATTATCACCTGTTTTTGCTAACCAAATGAAATTGGAAGAGGATTTTCACTTTTTTTATTGTTATTCAAGTACATTTGTCTCCATTTTCACCCCACTATACCCCCCACCCCAACTATCCCCTCCTCCCACCCTTGAACCCACCCTCTTTATCCCTGTCCTCGCTTTTATTAAAAAAGGCAAAAGAGAAGAACAGCACTTAGGATTTGTTTTGCAGCAAGCTGTTACGGAGGCACACACACCCTGGGCAGCAAGAGCAGCACCACCAGCTTTCTCTGGGAATCACACCGAACATCTCAGCATCAAGCCATCATACCTTTGGACTGTGTCTATGAGCTTTGGTGCTTTATCTTGGTTTATTTTATGCACCCATGAGCAATATGTGTCCTCAGGTATTAGAAAAGCCCAAGAGAGGTTATTTTGGGGGATCTGGGTGCAGCCATGGATCCCCCAAAATACTTGAAAATTTCTCTGTACGAGGTCAGTCTGTAAAAAGTCCAGCCATTGTTAATATAATGAAAACGGTTTGCGCCACATCCATGTAACCTGGCAGCAAAGGAGAGTGGACTGGAATGTGCATACATGAACAATGACAACTTCACTGTACTAGTATGTGGGGGTGTTAGACACCATTCAGCGAGCATGTGTGCCATGTGACCGTTGTATTCAAAATGACTGAGCAAGTAAACAATGGATCTGCATCAAATTTTGCATTAAGCTTAAAATTTCCTCTGTGCAAACTGTTTTCAGAAGGTCACAGCTATGGGCACTTGGTGATTGGCAGCTTCATCATGACAACACACCTGTTCATGCGTCACATTGTTACAGAAAACAACTCAGCTGCTTTTGGGTGTACGGAGTGGAAGTTTATTTTACGTGCAGACGCAAAGGAGCCAGTTTCCAAATTCTGGGCCTTGAACAAAGGGAAAGCAGTTATTTTATAGAGCAGGGGTTGGGGGATAGAGCGGGGGAGGGGGGGGAGAGACCGGTCCTTTAGACCAAAGCAGGAGACAATTTACAGAAGCAGAAAGCAGAGCGTTTCATTATCTCTGGTATGTAGTCGATAAGCTAGAAGAAACAAGGCAAATCACTGGGCTGTTAAACACCTGGGCTGTAAAAACAGTCCCCTGATTGCTGTGCTATATTTCTAAAATAATGAGTCACCCTCTACGCACTGAGCTATATTTTAAAATAGTTATCAATTTCCCCCAACAACATCTCATGCAGAGGTTTTTTTGGCAAAACATCAAATCACCCAGGTGACTCAGCCCCACTACAACCGAGATTTGGGGCCCTGTGACTGACTCCTGGCTTTTCCCAAAACTAAATTGTAGGAGACCATTCTGTGTGGTGTGGGCTCAGCTCCCAATGGAAAGCAAAGTCTGATGCACAGGATCCACACCCACAGATAGGTTCTCTCGCAGGGAATCAGGCCTGCAATATGCCTAGGCCACTTTGAGACTTGCTTTTGCTAAAAGCTCCCTCACCCTGATTTGCAGCAAACATTTACTGAAAAGTAGCTTCCTAAAATCCATGCTAAACCTTCCAAGGATGAGTGTAACTGGTTCAACCACTTTTGCCTTTTCATTTGTAAATATCCCTCTTCTGTGATGTGATCACCAGCATCCTCTCCTTTGTTTTCTGTAAATGGTAACCACCTAAAGCAAACCTGTGCGTAGTTAACGAGGACCTTCTTGTAAGGTGCCCAGAAAGACAATAAAAGCTCAGAGAAGCAAGGGCTGAGGTTTTTGCTCCCCTTGAGAGAGAAGCCGCTTGCCTTTTTTCTGCACAGGATTCAGTAGTCTGTGTGAATTTATTTTGTTTCAGCTATAACGCTGTGGACCCCCATGGCATCTAAGTAGGGGTCCTTGATATAAACTCACCTTTGAAAGGGAAGAAATTTCAGACTGTCACTGAGATTCAGGAAAATACAACAGGGCAGCTGATGGTGATTGGAAGAACTGTGTGAAGTCCCAAGGTGCCTACACTGAAGGGGACTTAGGCATCATTGTCCTGTGTACAATGTTTCTTGTATCTTGTATCTTCTTCAATAAATGTCTTTATTTTTCACAGTACATGGCTAGATACCTTCTGGATGGACCTCATGTAAATGAATAGTAATTGTTTCTTCACTTCATTCCATTTCAGTTTGCAATAGGTTTCATAGAAATGCTTTACTTTTGGATAGTAAGGGAAACCCAAATCAAAAACTGGGTGGTTTAAGGGTCTATTTATTTACTTATTTTTTAGAGAGCAGGGAAAGGAAGGAGAAAGAGAGGAAGAGAAATGTTGATGTGTGGTTGCCTTTCACATGCCCCCCCCCCCAATTGGGGAACTGGCCTGCAACCCAGGCATGTGCCTTGACCAGAAATCGAACCAGTGACTTTTTGTTTCACAGGCTGTTGCTCAATCCACTGAGCCACACCAGCCAGAACAAAAAAGAAACCTAGGTGGTTTAAACAACATTTATCTTCTCACAGGTCTGCAGGCTTGGAGTCTAAGATCAAGTTACTAGTAGGATTGGTTTCTGCTGAGGCCTCTCTTTCTGGCTTACAGATGGCTACCTTCTCACCATGTTAAAGAAAATAACTCAGCCGCTTTCAGGTGTACGGAGTGGAACTTTATTTTATGTGTGCAGACCCAGAGGAGTCAGTCTCCAAATTCTGGGCCCTTAGCAGTGGGGAAGCAGTTATTTTTATAGA